CATCTTAGTAACACTCCCCGATATTAACATAGAGGAAGGAATAGCTATTACTAAAACCAATGTCAAGATGTTAACTAATTGTCATCTTAGTAACACTCCCCAACATTGATATAGAAATAGTATTTAAAGGAAGAATTAATATTCAAGGAAAAGAAGTTAAGAAAATAACTCACAACTTTTATAATCAACAAGCTTCAAGAGCAATACCAAGAAATGGAAGTTTAGCTCCTCATTTGGAGACTAAACATGCTAAAAGAAATATAGAGAAATTCTATTCTAAACTGAGCTTAAGAGTATATAGGAATTGGTCTTTCATTGTGAAGGAAAGGGGGTGTATTTATAGGCTTTTTGGGAGTGCAGCTCGGGTACTCGATCGAGTATATACAGATACTCGGTCGAGTATGTGTAGAAACTCGAATTCGAGGTATACTCGATCGATTTTGGCTTAAAAATCAAAGGTGTACTCGATCGAGTATATATTCATACTCGGTCCAGTATGTGTAGAAAGTGATATTCAGGCCATACTCGACCGATTTCGGGTTTAAACTCAAAGGCATACTCGATCGGGTATGTCGGTCTACCCGATCGAGTATAGACACTGAATCGTGGTCAAAATCTTCCTGGCATGTTCCTTTGTCTTCGGATCTGATCCGATTTGAAATTTCAACCTTATACCCGATCGAGTATAGGTAATACTCGACCGAGTATAGACCAAAATCAGGATTTTCCCTTTTGTCTTGTGATTTTGCACCTTCCTTCCACTTTTGGGGTTCACCAACTGTCCTTTGAGTGATGGTAGACCTGTTTGAGCTCAGAATGACCCTAATCTAAACAAATTACAAGAATTCAACAAACTAAACTATTACACCAAAAGTGTGTAATTTCCGAAATACTAAACAACCAAAACTAGCTAAAAACGTAAACATACACACGGAAATTACAAGTGTATCAGACATCATGGGTAGGGATGATGTGATCGAGAACCTGGTAGGCTCTAGCGGTAATTTTGAAAAGTTCTACCCAAGATGAGAACTCAACAGTTTCCATATCAAGTGTGATTGGAATGAAATTTTTGATGTTGGTTATAGCTAAGGCCGGGTGGAAAGCGGAAGACTTTTGAGAGGCCATAGGAAAGAAGAAGACTGATACCAAGTTAAATGATGTAAAATTCACCGTGGTGATAAATCTTATTCAGCAGCTTTAAATAGCCAACGTATCAAAGAGTTACAAGCTATCTACACTTCTAATAATTTTATCTAATGCTAACCGTATACTGTTTACAAGAGGAAAGGATAATAACAATAATATTAAATATTAATCAACAAGTGATGTACAATGTATCCGGTCGCTTCTAATGCGGATGAGTAGTGCGGTCAGTTGAGGTGATGCTTATCTGATTAAGTGTAGCCATGCATACTCATGTCAAAAATGTGACATACGTAAAATACATATGTTAACATATATATATATATATATATATATATATATATATATATATATATATATATATATATATATGAATAGAGATTAAATACAAACCATGCTTAATTTACAAAATACAAAGTTATCTTGGCCATCCGATGAGTTGATCTAAAGGATATAAAGGCAAGGTGGCATTTTTGTAATAAAACCTAACTTTTCTAGGGTGCAACTCGTTGAACGTTAATGTGCAACTGCTATTTTATGATTATATAATATGCAACACTTTGAACCTCAATATGCAATGCAAATAACGTCAAGGTGCATCGTACAAACATTTGCATAATAAGCACAATTTGTACTTGATCTTTCCCCTATATATATATATATATATATATATATATATATATATATATTAAAGTATTAAGTATAAGTGTATTACTCATTTTATAGTAATATACTTATATATTATATACCATAAACATTATATTATATATTACTTATAATATATTTACACATTATATATACTATATATACTTATACACATTCATATTTACTTGATATTTAGTTATTATCTATACTATTGTTATTTACTTTTATTTACACATTACATTTAGTTAATATATACTTATATATATATTAAAGTATTAAGTATAAGTGTATTACTCATCTTATAGTAATATACTTATATATTATATACTATAAACATTATATTATATATTACTTATAATACATTTTCACATTATATAAACTATATATACTTATACACATTCATACATTTTATAAAAGTAGTTAATTGTTAGACTTCTCATTTATCTATTAAATTAGTTAATTGTTACATTTCTCTACATTTCTCTTTAAATAAAAAAAAAATTAGTTACTTGTAACATTTCTCATATTAATATTAGTTAATTGGTACATTTCTCATTAAAGAAAAAAAAAACTAGTTAATTGTAACATTTCTCATATTAATATTAGTTAATTGGTACATTTCTCATTAAAGTAAAAAAACTAGTTAATTGTTACATTTCTCATATTAATATTAGTTAGTTGGTACATTTCTCATTAAAATACAACAACTAGTTACTTATTACATTTCTTTACATTTCTCTTTAAAGTAATAAAAAAACTAGTTAATTGTTACATTTGTTGGTAAGAAATCTTAATCTCCTATTATTGGAAACAATTTTACAAAAAGAAAGACAAAAATACTGATAAATGGTACGCAAATTGCAATCATTGCAACAAAGAGTATAGCTTGGGAACTTCTGGCGGATACGAGAGTCTGACAAGGCATCTTAAGTCAGCACACTTTGTAGAGTATGCGAAAATAGACAAAGGCAAGGGGAAGCAAACACAAATATCGAGGTTTTCAAATTCTCAACCCTTTGGTAATTTCTCCTCTAATGATCAAAAACATTTGACTGGTATGTCTCATTTAATTGTTGAAGAAAATTTACCCTATATTTTTTCCCAAAGTCTTGCTTTAAGAGATTATGCTCAAGGTACTTTAAATCCTCAATTTAGAAATTATAGTCGCAAAACGATTAAAAAAGAAGTTATAAGGCAATATAACTTGGAAAACGAAAAATTACAAACATTTTCGCAAACTTTGATGGACGTGTTAGTATTTGTAGCAATATATGGGAGGATACTTATCATCATTTATATTATTTGGGTCTTACTGCACATTATATTGATGATGATTGGAATATGCATAAACGTGTTCTTGCTTTTCGTGAATTCAATGATCGTCACACTGCTGATAATATTTATCTTCTCATTGAGCGTATATTAATTGAGTATAATTTGATTGATAAGATGTTTGCTGTAGGTTTTGATAATGCTAGTAATAATACTGTTGTTATACCTAGATTACGTGAATTGTGTGGTGCTTCTACATTGATGGGTAGGTTTTTTCATCAACGTTGTGCATGTCATATTCTAAATTAGTGTGTACAAGATGGGTTAGCGGCATTAGGAAATGCTTTGGAGGTAGTGAAGGGGGGAATTAAATTGATTTGGGTTAATACTCCACTAAAAATGCAATGGTGGTAATATTTGAATGATAGACGTGTCAATTATTGTGCTTTTCCTAAAGATTTGTTCATTCGTTGGAATAGTACTTATAACTTAATTAAAGTACTTATTAGATATAAAGATCATTTTCCTGCTTTTTTAAGGCAATCTTGTAACTATATAATAAACCCGGCTGACATCGACACTTGTGAAAAATTTGTTAATGTTTTAGTATATTTTAATAATGCAACTCAAACTTTTAGTCATGTTTATAAACCTACCGCAAACAAATTTTTTGTTAAAGCTGTTAATCTCGCCGGCGCTTTTTGTGAATTTGCTGATGCCGCTTACGTTAGTTATTTTTGTGATTTCATGAAACAAAAGTTTTGAAAATATTATTCACATATTCCGCATATATATGGTATTGCATTTATTCTTGATCCTCGTTATAAACTTGCTTACTTGGGAACTTGTATAGATTACTATTATGCTTCTTTTTTTTCCAACTCAAGAGTTCGATGATAATCTCATAGACCCTAAACAAGAATTCAACGAGGTGAGTAATTTATTTCATCAATTGTATAATGAATTTTATGCACAATATGGTAATTCACCCCCTCCTCTGCCGCGAACATCTTCTTCATCTAAAGAAAAATCACTTTTAAAATCTGCATTTGGTTCTCTTTTGAAAAAAAGTAAAGCAACTCCCCCTAATGAACAAAGCTCAGTTAACGAGCTTTCTTTGTATCTAACATTGAATGTTGATTATGAAGTTGGGGATGACTTTGACGTTCTTAAGTGGTGGAAGAAAAATGAAAAAACATTCCCGGTTTTATCAAAGATGGCTAAGCAAGTGCTAGCAATGCCGATATCAACAGTTGTCGTGGAACAAGAATTTAGTGCGGCCGACAACGTCCTAACCGATTATAGAACGAGGTTGAGCCCGAGCTCTCTTGAGATGCTAGTTTGCTTCCACGATTGGTTGAAGGCCCAACGAAGAACTCAAGAAATGAGCATCGCTCCCACCCGCCACTTTATGGAGGAAACAACCGAAGGCGGAGATTCTGATTGATTATTTATTACAAAATTTATTACATTTATTAAATTCATCCTAATTCTCAATTGTACTTCTTATTTGAAATAAATATACTTGAATTTTTTTATATTATTGTGTACATCAATTCAAGAATTAACAAAAAAAATTAAAAAGCCCGGAACCGGACTGGCCCGGCCCGGTAAACCGCCGGGTGGCCCTTGCCCGACCCGGAACCGCCAGCCACCCGGACCGGTTCCGGTTCCCATTTTCCCAAACAAAGGCCCGGCCGGGCTCAGGCCCGAACCGGAACCGGCCCGGGTCCATCACTAATCCCAGGTCCAATGGTCACGATGATTTGACGTAAAAAAGGTTTAAAATGAGACCATAACTAGTTTTTGGGTACAAGTCCTCAAGAACTATTTTGGAAATTCTAGATTTCTAGTCCCAGTGTAAGAGTGACCATCATGGCATCATATATTGACTCATTGGGCACTGAGAACTGGCCGGTCCAAAATTGAAACTAGCTCGTGTCTACAACTTCATATCCGAGGGAGACTCATCAGTACAATAATAAGTTCAAATGAACGGAGTAAAGAAATAACTTATTTTCATATATAGAGAAGTCTTTAATCTTTATCAGTGTCTGGATAACTGTTTGGACCTAACATCTAACGGCGGCATGGAACTTGCCATCAGGGTAAAAACACACACAAAAAAAAAATCATATACATCCAAACAGTAATACCAAAGCGCATGCACATACTCTTGATGACGAAAAAGCACAACATAAAGCACTTACTAAAATTAGACAAGTCTCACGACCAGTTCATATCCAAGAAAATAAATGTTCACCATCATCCCAGCTGACCTGCACTTCAAACAAAAAGCCACCACCCATGGCGCCACACTGTATTTTGTCTTCAAATCCCAGAATCTGAGGCCAAGTTGCTCTACATTAAGGGGACTATCCTTATTATATATATAACTCTTCAGGTTATCCGGTTGTATGTCTGTTCACATTTTATTACTGTGATGATGATGAGCTGGTGTTAGGAGAGATGCCAAAGTCCTAATATTTGCCTTTAGTGGAGAAGAATCTGCTGAAGCCACGTGAGTTCTTTTCTGGAGTTTGTGCATGAGGAGGATAAGGTAAGGTGGATTTAGTGGACCGATGTTTTGAGTTAAGGGGGGATCTTAACGGGTGACTTGACTCCGAGTCCGACGGACTATACGGGGCATCGTATAGCTCCACGTGGGATGACTCGTGAACACTCAACTTCTGACTGGAAGCCGTTTCCATCTTGGTAGTCGTCGGGTCAGTGTGATGCAAGCCTGACCCCCCACCGCTTATAGTTGGTTCTTCCTCTTCTCCGCTTACCCTACTGTCCCCTTTCTGAGGCTGGGGGGAACCTATGAACTCTGCCGGTTCCCCAAGGGCCTGAGCAGGACGCAATCCCTTTAACTGCTTTCCCAGAAGAAATATTGTTTCTTGACATTCTGCTAGTTTTTCTGCTGCTGCTGCCAAGTCCTTCTCCTATAATTAATTAAGAAACGTGTAGATGTGTCATTTTGTGAAACAATCCATTTAAGGGTAAACTCATCACATCCTTCCATTTCAAACTCAAAAAAATTAAATCCATCTGAAATCATTTGAAATTTTCACATTCGTTAATGATTTGCCATTAAGTTGATTATCATACAATACACTAGTACCCTTGTATATGCATTGTTCAATCATCTTGATATATCAACACATGAACTTAAGTTTACAGACAAATAGACAAAGGATTAAAAGGGTCATGAATGGACTAAATGAAACATTTTGATGAAAATATATAGATTTGATGCACTAAACCTTTGTAATATAAACTTTGCGTGTTAGCCCCACATTATTTAAAAAATGTGTCAAGCCCCCACGTGTTATAAGACTTAAATACCCACGTGTTATAAGACTTAAATATGTCAAGTTTTTTAAACTATAAAAAAATACTAAACATTTTGATATATTTGATAGTTAGATTTGTTCTTTCAGGGTGTTGTATGCATAATATTAATAACACAAGGGGTTTGACGAACTTAAACCCCTTGTTTTATATATCATGAAGGGATTTGGTGCATTAAAGCCGAAAATTTATTCATTGTAATTTGAATAGAAAAGTTTATCTAATCCATCCTTACTACCCTTAGTTTGGAGTGCGCCATAAGAAGGAAGCAATTAGATGTACCACAAAACAGAATATTCCAATAACGAGTGATGTATAGATCATTAACAAGGTAAAGTCAAATAAGTGAGAGGAATTGTTATTTCTGGTTTCTACTGTTAGAAAAATATGTTGTTTATATTAGTGATACAGAGCAGTAACTGTGAGAACCAAAGCGATCATAACAGAGGCTATGTTGGGAGGCTCACTTGTGTTGTCTTCGCATCAATCTCCGCTTTCAAGCTTTCAATCCTGATTCAACCACCATATATGCGTAAATGAGTATCATAAATATATGTCCTAATAGGCTAATATATCACACATTGAAGATAATAAGACTATCTAGGATTAAATTCATTGCAAAATAAAGGTAGAGTTTATTCTAAAACTAGAGGTGAAGGATAGAAAGGTACTCCGTATATAACAATAGTAATTACAATAATGTTAATATGCTGTAATGCTGTAAAGGGAAAAAAAATATCTAGGATTGTAATGGCCATATCTTTAAAAATGCCAAAGATCAAATAAAGACTAAAATTATTAGACACTCACCTTTCCAGTTGCTCTTGAAAATCCTTGCATTTAGCTAGAGCATCGTGATGACCCTTCTTTTCTTCTTCAAGTTCAAACTCCAGTGTATCAATTTTCGCCTGGAGAGCATTGACTTCCGTTTGTAACTTCTCCGCACGTGTTTCCAGCGACTTATATGACTCTGCCATACATTTAAGCTGTGTCTCTGCCAAACCATTCGATCTCTGAGCAGATACTAACTGTGACTTGACCTCTGCAACCAACATCTCTGTCTCAGCCAACTGTGCTTTTGTGCTTTCTAGGTTCTCAGTTCTTCTAACAAGATCAGCCACCAGATTTTCCTTCTCTGATTTCAATTGTTCGAACTCCTCAGACGAGCATTTCCATGACTCAGATGTAGGAACTAAACTACTATCGTGAGAAATGTCACGATCAGAGGCAGAATCTGAATATCCATCTTCCATGTTCTGTTGAACTTTGTTCTCTGGTAAAGCAACCTTGTCTATGCAATCAGCAGAACTAATCTCCATTTCTGAATTTTTATAACCCAGTATGTTGAAGTGTAGTTCGCTCACTTTACTCAACAGAGCTGACAGGTCCAAAACAAATTTCACAAGGCTTACATTTCTGTTTACAACCTCCGAATACATTACACAGAACTCATCCAGTTTTTCGGAGAGTCCATTCCCAGAGGTAGAAGTGGCCTGCAAAGCCTTTGTTTCTTTGCTTATGAACATTAAAAACACATGAATTTGATTTATAGCATCTGCCAATTCCTGAGATATTGAAACACTATTTTCTGAAGCTACATCATGAACCTCGACTTCATCTGTTGATGGATGAGGATTCAATGTTTCTGATGTTTCTTCCAAAACACGTCTAATATCGTCCAAGATCTTTTCCATGTCAGCTTCCTTAGTCACTAACTCAAACACCTTTGAAATTTTTGACTGAAGTGTTGTGAACGGTGTAGCTTCCTCAGAAACTAGTTGGGAATCAGGTTTTGATACCTCCTCCTTGTTACAAGATGACTGGTTTTCTGAGCTTGAAACTCCTCCTCCATTCGTGTCGTTTGAGAGATAAGCTAATTTCTCCATCTCCAAGAAGTCATCCATAAGCTCCAGATGGCTTGCACTATCAGACCTACATGGACTTTCGAGGTTATTATAATTATCCTTCTTGGCATGGGAGAGATCAGGCATAACTGATGTAGCCCAAGATCCAGAACAACTCATTGTATCATCATTGCCATCTTCAGACATGGAGGTCAAGCTCGGAAGGTTATTCTTTGAAGGACTTCTATGATCATCACCATTTGCTTGCAGAAGTGCCTCTAGACTTTGAAGTTTGCTGACAGTCTTTGCACAAGAACTTCTAGAAGCTTGTAGTTCACTATTACGTTTTGCCAAAGCTTCTTTCAGCAACTTTGTTTCCTCCTCCATTCCCAGCAGTCTCTCCGTTAGATGTTCATTCTCTTTTTGGAACTTCTGGATGTGGTCAAAAGAATAATCAGGCGTGGCAGGATAGTGTGGGCTGTTGGGAGGCTTTCCTGGGGACTTCCTCAGCCTGGTATCTTCATAATCACGTCCCAAGCTCTCAACCTCAAGCTTCATTTGAGCAAGTGCTGCAGGACCAGGCAACCTCTTCCGTACAAGGCCGCGTAATCTTTGGCACTCTCCTTCAAGCTTAGCTATCTTCTTTACTCCTTCCAGATGTTGCTTATTTGCAACTTCTGCGGACCGTGCACACATGTTTTTCTCCTCGTTTCTAATTTCCAACTCTTTGGCGATGACATGGAGTTCATATTTTAGCGAATTTATCTCCTTGTCACAAGATTCAATATCGCTCCTTTGATGTTCTATCTCTGCTTCAGCTCGTGATTTTTCATCACTGAGTTTAACCAGCATGTTAGAGCGTTCTTGAAGAGATCTTGATAGAGCAGAGTTTTCTGCTGCGGATCTAAGTAACTCTTGCTCCAAGTTAGATATCTTTGCTTCAAGTTCAAGTCTCATCTTATCAAACTGTTTAGTTCTGTTAAAAATCACCTCGTGCAATTTTTGTTCATGCTCTTCCTTTAGATTCCGTATCTGTCGCATACACTCCTTAAGAGCACCATCCAAGTGTAATGCACGGTCTTCAGCACTGAGCTTCGATAGGGTGACGGATTCCAGGTGGTTTTTAAGTGCTGCAGCTTCTGACTCAGCTTTTTCCCAACCTGCTCAACCAAATGGACTTGGGCAAGTTTATTCAAGATTTCAATACTCGAGTTAATCCATCAGCCATACACACTATTATTGAACTGGTCCTCAACTTTATTGTTATTAAATTGGTCCTCAACTTCTAATGGACTCGATTCGGTCCTCAATTGTGAAACTTTGATGCAATTTAATCCTCATTTCTATTCAATTCTAACTATGAGGAGTATTTTCTACATTCACTAATTTAGACCACATTTTGGACTCAGCTTGCCCATTAAATGTGTAATTAGGTTATGTCCTCACTGTACGAAAATAATTTTCATAATTAGTGATATAGAAAAGAGGAGTGGATTAAGTTTGAGTTGCATAATCTAGGACCAAACTGAGTAGTACGATATAATCAAGGGAATGAATCATGTTTTATTGAACTATTTGTTCAAGGAATCAATGACATGCAGACATATTGCCAAACCTGAGACAGCTTCTTCAGCAACTTTAGCATGTTGTTTCACAAGATTGTCCTTGTTAGTCATTTCATCTTCTGCCGCAGATAATTTTTCATTTAATTCCTTAACCTCCTCCTCAAACATCTTAACATGTTCTTCATAGGATTTCACTTGATCCTCAAGTCCCGTGAGATGTGAATATGACTCCACAGAAATTTGCACATATTTTGGTTTCTTGTAGTTTTCCTGCTTTGTCTGGACATTAACAAAAAAGAAACGTGATGAAACCCATAAGAGGTCGATGTGGTCCTATTGAGATCAACCAAAAGCTAATCCAGAAAAACACAGCACAATATACACAAATACTAAATATTACTCCTTACTATGATACTTCAATAAACTCAAGGGAAAGAAACCTAAAACGTAGCATCATCTCTTAGCTCATTGAAGAGGTGTATTACAGTAAAGGTAAATTTGTTACATGCAAGCATATCAAAGGAGAATGTAATAGATACTTGGTGATGAAAAACCTCCCGTGGAAAATTCAAATAAACTAACACAAATTAGTCATATAAATATACTCTTGAAGTAAACATTCATACCTCATTTCCCTGAGAGGCATTTGATAATGTAGTTGCGGTAGGTGACTCAACTGCCGGAATTAGAATTTTCTCAGCTGCAGCCTTATCAGATGATTTCTTCTTCCATGGCCAACTCCTCCGATCCATTATGACCTGTCATCCCAGCAAGGCAATACCAAAATTGTTTATTTCAGATATTCAACAAATCACATGCTTGAACTTGTAATCATACTTAAGAATATCCTAGCTGGAACAAACTTTGAATGCCTTCATAGACACATATATGGGATAATATAGTACTCCCCCCCCCCCTCCCCAATGCTCTTCAGTAATTAACTGAATTGTGTAGGGAACACATGTTTATAAACTCAAATAGAATGATTTGGTGGTAATGATACAGAGCCATAGATTGCGGCATGATAACTTCAAAAGATCTGAGAAGGAAATATAAATGTGTAAATGTGTAATGCTGGTAATAAATACTAACTTTATGCAGTGAACGTGGATACTCTTCCTATTTCACCAAGAAAGTCTGTTTGGTGAGAGGAATGACAATTTGACCTGTGACCTAACTAGAATTACTGGTCATTGTCACAACTATTGGTCTTTTAGCTGTTTGGGGTAACAAAAACACAAGTTCAAAAGATTATCAACCTAACAAACAAGAAAACAAGAAATCCTGAGAATTCTCAGAAATCTTCTTGATTCAGGGAAGGTGAAAGAGACATATTGAAATTCCAAAACAAACAATTACAGATAATTTATTGGCAATACATGGGAATTGTAGAAAATAAGTGAACACTTAGAATACTCAAAAGGTAAATAAAGTGAATTGCGTACCACAAAATTACAAAATCAACAAAAATATAATGCCCTACAACTTAAAATTAATCCATCGGTATGCTGCGTAATATAATTTCCATTCAAATGAATTCTTAGAACCAAACATTAACCGACAATGGTCTAATATCCGGATGATACTAATTTACTTTCCAATCTTGCGATTCGAAAAATAGAAAACGAGAATCTAAAACACTTGCATAAGATGCCTCAAAGACATCTTTCAATGAGAGCTCCAGGAAAATACTGCAGGCCTCCTCCAACCAAAAAAAAAAACAAAAACCACAAGAAAAATCTAAAGCTAGATCACTTAAATCCAATAAATGCAGAACTTCCTACATGATTTACACATTACCCCTTGAGAAACAGAGTCAGAGCTTAATAAATGTGCTCCACGCGACTTTAAGTCGTACACAGAGGCCCGGTAGCGGTTGAATTAAAAGCTCATAAAGTATAAGCTGAGATCAAATAACAATAGTTGAGAAGCACCGACAGAAGAAAATAGATTAAGAAATAGACATGCCTCCCGAAAAGGAGAAGAAAATGAGAAATAGATGGAACCGCTAATGGAGGTCTTTGCTTGCGCAACATGAGAAAAAGCAGCACGAAAAAAACATAGACATCACACTACACGCCACGCACATGAACACATCCTTAATATCAGCCATATTTAATGCCGCTTACTGACGCCATCACCAAAAAGCCAGCAGAAGTTCCGGAAACGAAACTTAGCACCGAAATATGGAATATCAATAATGAAATCAAACTTACCAGTTACCACTCACAATGCAATGCAGCTCCACTGATGGTGATAGATAAACCCCGCAATAACCACAATATATACAAAAATGGAGATTGAGAGAAAACTGAGTCCTCCGATGATTTAGATCTAATTAACTCGCGTTTCTCAATCCAGTTCTAGACGCACAGAGAGAGTAGTCTGCCGGATACTTCCTCCGGCGGGAGCTTATAGAGAGAGAAAGTGCGGGGGAAGACGGAGGAGGAGCGGTGGTGCGGGAGGAAGAGAAAGGAAATATTCGGCGTTGGGTAGCATTTAAAAAGGCAAGACGTTGGAAAACTCCAAAGCATCTGCTTTCATGATTTGTTCCGGTAATTTTATTTACAGGTATTTATTCATTTATCGGCATAAGGAATTTAATTTTCCAGGAAAAGGAAAACACAGGCGCAATTCATAACTGTATATGCCGTGGAAAATGGGAAGTGGAAATCACTTTAAATCCGTAAGAAGGAGGGGGAAATGACGGAAAGAGGGCTGGGAAAGTGGGGAATTAACGACCGCACGCTTGTGGGAGAAGGCGGGGTGAGCTGGACGCGTTAACGTGGACCACACCGTCACTAATAGACAGTCCACTCAGTCCAGCTAATAGTTGGCGCACTTTGTCCACTTTTTTTTATTTTTAGCAATACTAAAAAATGTACTGTGATTTAATTACTCCCCGTGACCATTTTTTAATTGCGTGATTTGCAGTTTTGCACCATATTTATAGCAGAATTCGTTCTTTCTTTCCGTTTGAACAAGTTTACTTCACGGGTTACTAAACGATGCTTATTAAGGCTCGCATTAATAAGCGGCGCATAAAATAAGCAATGTTGTAAGATCGTGTTTATTTTAAAAGACTTAAAACACCGTTTAACGTTAAAATGTCCAAAATAACTTTATGCATATATAGGCACACAAACATTCATGAACACAAGTATATAATATAATATGTGGGATCACCTCATACGGTACTCATACCTTCTAACCCCTACCCCGCTTACCCCCACCCCTAACCCCCCTACCCTACACCCTATCCTACTGTACTCCCCTACCCCTACCCTAACATACCTTACCTCGACCCGCCCCGGCCCTACCCTACCTACCTTACCCCGACCCCTCCCTACCCACAATCCCCCACCTTTACCCCTAACCTCGACCCAACCCCACTCCCTACACCAACTTGCCCCTACCTCGGCCCCACCTCAATCCCACCCCACCCCCTACCACAAATGCCCCTACCTCGGCCACACCCAGATCCCGGCCCCACCCTACCACCATCCTACCCTACATTAGGGTGGGGTCGGGGGTTGGACGAATGTGGTAGGGGGTAGGGGGTTTGGGGTAGGGTGGTAAGGGCCTTACGGGGGGTGGGGTCAGGTGAGGCCGATGTCATAAGTGGTAAGGTGTTGGGGTAGGGTAATAAGGGCCTAGGGTTAGGGGTTGGGGTAAGGTAGAGTAGGGTAGGGGTAGGAGTAGGACATGGTGGGGTCGGGGTGGGGCCGATGTGGTAGGGTTGGGGTAGGGCCTAGGGTAGGGTGGGGTCGGGTGGGGCATTGTGGTAGGGTTGGGGTAAGGGCCTAGGGGTTGGGGGATGGGTGGGGTTGGGGGTGGTGGGGGCCTATAGGTGGAGTCGGGGTTCGGGTAAGGTATGGTAGGTAAGGGGTGGGGTCGGGGTAAGGTAGGGTAAGGGTAGAAGTAGATAGGATAGGGTGGGATCGGGGTGGGGCCGATGTGGTAGGGGTAGGGTGGGGGTGGTAAGGTCCTAGGGGTGGAGGGTAGGGGTTAGGGGTAGGGTGGGTATGGATCGGGGTGGGGCCGAGGTGGGGGCATGTGGTAGGGGTGGGGTAGGGTCGTTGTCGGGAAAGGGTAACACGGGGTGGGGGTGGGGTAATGGCCGAGTAGGGTAAGGGTAAGGGGTAAGGTACGAGGATGGAGGTAGTGGATAAGATGGGGTCGGGGTGAGGTCGGGGTAGTAGGGTAGGGGGTGGGGTAGCGGGTAGAGGGGCAACAATAGGGTAAGGGCAAGGGGTAAATTTGGAAACTGAAAAAGCTTAAAGTGCCGCTTAATTAATACATGGGGGGTGGTATGCTTAGTAAACGGCACTTTTAGTACCTCTTTCGGTTAATAAGCGGCTTTTTAAGTAGCGTGCGTGTTTACTTCACCTGTCTTACTAACCTAACTGTGACTTTAGCAGCGAAGTAAACACCTCCTTACTGTTAGTCTTTACCGGAACTATTTTGGGTGACGGTCTTGGCTCTTTTTTTGGATAATAACGGGCCTACTTTGCGATCGGAGGTTATTGCGTGTTTTATCTATCACTTATACAAGTGTCACAACTCACAATGCGTAGACTTGTTTAACAAGCTCACAGAGGGTTCAGTGTCGCAAAGATATGTATAAATCTCGGATTCGAATCTTCACAATTGCAATGAAAAATTCTTGTGTAAAAATATACTCACTTCGTCTCAATATAAAGGGCACATTCGAGTTTTCAAACATTTTTAGGAGCACTGTTTAGACATTGTTTGGACATTGTTTGGTACTGTTTGAACACTGTTTGGCACTGTTTGAACACTGTTTGGCACTGTTTTGTTTGTCGAAAAGGGAAATGTGTCTTTTATATTGGGACAGTCCAAAAAGAAAAATGTGTCTTTTATATTTGGACGAAGGGAGTATAACATCATTCTAAGTACCGACTCTAGAGACTCACTCTCTATCTGTTAATTTATGATTAAAATATAATTTATATCTTCTCAAGTAATTATTCAACTGGGTTAGGGGGCTTAGGAATGTAGTGTCATCCTTTTTTTTGTTTAATGAGCTCAGTCTTATTTAAGTTTACTTTCAAATAGGTGTGTTCATCAATGACATTAGCCATTGTCAGTTAGCTGTTTATGATAGAATGGATTATTAATTTAATGTATCTTCAATTGTTATCAAATTCACAAATCATCATATTTTTAACTTTTATTAAAAAAAATAATCAAACTTCAATTTTTCTCACAATTACATTTTCAATTGATTAACTATTAAATATTGAAGAAGAAAATCTTGTTTCTAATTCATATTTTCACTCATTCTCACTTTCACATAGAAATTTGACAAGAATATCATAAAAATGTAATAAAATGAAAAATGTGCATAAAAATATGACTAAAAAGTAATTAGTAAAATTAAAAAGTCATTCTTGTCATTATCAGTTTATTATGTCACTAACGGTTTGTCATGCCATTGCAAGTGACTTCTTATGTCAGTATCGCCGCCATCAATGTCACTGTCATCGCCACCAATGTTGGAATATAAAAACGTGATTAACTTTTATTTAATTATTATGCACATTTTTCCCCTAATTCCTACCACCTAAAAATATAGGCGTTTTTTAAAATTGGGGTGGGCCAGGGCCTAGGATGGCCACCCCCTAGCTACGCTGATACCGGTCTCAGGTAGGATAAGTTGGCACCGGATCGAGTTGGCCTCGATTTGAACTGCTAGTTTGAATTGTTTTTGCTTTTTTCTATCGGTTTTCAAGGGCGGAACTACCAATGGACTGGGGGTGGGGCATGATTATTTTCTCACAATTTTACACTTCGAATAAATGTTTTTTAAAGGACTGAATAGACCAAAATCGATTCAGAATCAGGATATTAGCGACCCGGTCGTGAGCCCTATATTTTTCCTAGCGACTCGGGCCAAACTAGCCCAAATGCATCCCCAGACCAAATGATTGAAAACTATCCCTGTTTAATGTACATATATAACATCTATTAGGGACATTTATTTTAGAGGTCCAGAGTCCATAAACTTTCAGAACCGTCTTTTAAGAGCTTCCCAACCATAAAATAAATTGGTCAGACCGTCAGAACACATTTTTTTAATTTCCACCACACATAGCTCTTACAAAGAACTGACTCATCCTCCGCGGTCCTCTTACAAATGAGTTTCATATCTTCCATCATCCGACAAAGGTAGTCGTATATTTATGCTCATACAAATTTCTAAATGATAGCACATATACAATTTGTTATTTAAATCTTTTCATATAGTCAATATATCAATTAACATATATAAGATCACCGAATTATAGGTGGAGTACATAATAAAAAAATACCCATTTTCATTAGAGTTCTAAAGTATGTCTTTCAAATCATATCATTGTGAATACCACCAAGGCATTCATATATGTAGTATGTGCTAACTATATATATGTTAATTGTGGTCCTCTTGATGTGCTTTATTTACTTTCCTTTTTTTTTCAAAAAAAAAAAATTACTTTCCTTTTTCTACCCTTTATCTTTTGTCCTTTGTTTTTGCTTTTCTTTCATAACTTGCCTTGGCCGTCAAAGCTCATATTTATATACTTTTTGAAAAATATATTTCTCTTTGACATAAGACCAAACTTAAGGACATTTTTAGATATCTTTTCACATGTTTATTTTTGTTTTTATATCGTACTGGAAGTCATCATCCCAATAAAGTTCAATTCAAAAGAAAATGTTCTTAATCATATAAAATAGGGATAATTTGAATTTGCACCCATATTATTGTTCAAATCGGACTTTGCACCCCATTTTTAAAAGTCTTTATTTTTGCACCACAACCTCATATGAAAAGACAAAAATACCCCTCCATTAACATATTCTTGATCAAGGGCATTTTTGTATTTTCATATGTAGTTGGGGTGCAAAAACAAAGTCTTTTAAAAGCCGGGTGCAAAGCAATTTGGACAATAATATGGGGTGCAAACTCAAATTAGTCCTATACAATAGACAAAAATCACACTTAACATACCGCATCACATTTAACACACGGACACACATATGATTTGATTAAAGTTAAACTAGAGATAGATCTTGTTGAGGTTTATTCCTTCAACCCCCGGGTCCAACACGTAAGCCCAAGGATTTCGAATGGAGTGTGTGAATAAACTAGCCCAACAAGCAGATAATAGGGGTCAAGAAACAGTAAGGTAGCAAGTAAGTGATTAGGTATTATTATCTCTTAATAACTCCCTAATACAATACTTTCCGCTAAGGCTCCGTCGGCCGTTCGTCTTACAAGGCAGTAGAAGTGCTGCGAGTAAGGATGCTATAGCTAGAGTGCTAAGAATAGAAAGTTGCCAACCCTTTACAATGAAATAAATGCTTCTATTTATACCCGCCAATGGGCAGGTGGCTATGCTGACGTGGAGGCCGGTGGACCGCTGGTGTCCCAACCACCAAATCTTCAGCATTAAATGCACTTCCCGCCAGAATCTAGGTTTCCCGCCTAAATAGTGGGGACGTTCGTCCGTCCGGGAAGCGAGCTGGATCGCTCCAAGTGATCCTCAAGAGGTATCGGCTGTTCGTCTCCTGGCCTTGATGGATTCTCACCATGTGGACTGGGTTTCCTTTGATAATTATAGGTTCGCTCTGGGGACGTTCGTCGTCATCCCCTGGTAGCCCGCGGTCCTGCTCCTTGTCCCTGCTTAGACGTTCGTCGGGATGAGCCGCTGGGCCTGAACTCCCAACCCCAGACGCTCGTCCCTCCCCAGGGAATATGGGCCTGCGGGCTGGCCTTGTGGTCTGACTGGACGCATGTCTGGTGAAGAAAGGGTTAGTGGGCCGGACCTCGGCTTGGGCCCTTAACCCAACAGATCTGTATGAAATCATAAAGACAAGACCCAAAAAAATCCAATATCAAACAACTTCATCCAAGTCCAACCAAACATCCCAATCAAGGTTGGGAACGA